TACAAGTCAGTTTGGATAAATAGAACAAAAATATAATTATTAAAATAATTTTAAAAATATAGAATAAGCTTGCATAAGTTTAAAGAAAATTAAAATATAATAACAACATAACTGGTATCTGGAGAAAAGAAACTGAAAATAGCAATGTGTGAATAATTGACATGGAAAAACTAAAGACTAAAGGAAGGAAGGCTAGAGAAGTCATTACCAAATTCAAACTACCAACCAGCAGAACAAAACTAAAGTAATAAACATCTCAACTAAGTAGCTTATAAAGTAACATACAATGCCTTGGGAGTTCTAATATAGAGCGGTTACATGGCTTGTTGCTGGTGATACAAAGCTTCTCTATCAATGGATGGAGGAATTGAGTTTCTGCATAAATTGGCTCAAACACAGATAAGGCTACCCTAGATAACTCAACTGCATGTTTGGCCTACTTTACATCTTTCTGGATGCAACAAGCTAACATCCTCAACATAATAGATACAAATACTCACAAAAGAGTGGAATCACATAGATCCCTGGCTTTTGTAGTAAACTGTAAGGATTTCTATCATTGCACAATAATCTACAAATGTTTGGCTGAAGTCTAATAGAGATGATGTAATTAAAGACATAGCTAAATTAAGAAGTCATAGCTAAAAAAAACTTAACTCAAATGAGTAATAATGCTTCCCATATAAACTCTCACATTTTCTTAACTATCATAATGAAATCAGGATTCAAATTTCAAGGGGGTCCTACTGTTGATATACTTAAATTTTGCATAACAGTAACCAGCATCCAAAACTATTGAAACAATGCATTCTAACTATCATTACTCACTATTGGGAAGAGGGGTAGAAATAGCCTCCTACAGATTAAAACAGAAACTACAGTATTTTTGTACATGCTGAACTGAAAGGTTGAGGCAGAAATAACTACAGGATTCATGTTAAACTTATGATGTACTCCAAATAAAAGTTCAAAAAACATAAAAGTCTTCTTATTTTAAATTAATTTGAGAAAATTTTACTAAACAAATTTACAAAAGAATTCAAAAGACATAACTGTCTTTTTGGAGACTGCATATGTCCAACAAGTATAATAATAATTAAGCAAATTTAGAATATTTAATTGTATGTATCTGGAAAAAAAATACTAAATCAAGTATTCGAAAGGTGTACCCGATAATTTTCTCTCATTTTTTAAAGTTGCAAATTCTGTTTTAACTTTTGTTTTAATGAATAATGACAACATGAAATATTGCTTTTAATATTAGAGTCACCATTTCATGGAATTAAATTGTTACTTAAATATTTGTGGTAATTGTTTTAAACATTCAAAGTAAAAAATTTTGGTAAATATTTAAGAACTCATTTTTCAAACTTATTTGTCTCATTACATAGTATAAAGACTAAATCAAAATGCTCCAAGAAAACCTTTAACATGCAGCTTAATTTTGCTACCAACTAACGTTTTCGGACAGCTTCACTGACCTTCAGGTTAGAAAACAAAAAAAAAAATTCATTCAAGATGAAAGTTTTTTTCTTAATGGAAACTTCTAGAATGCTTATCTTTTAAATCAAATCATCGTAGATTCGTTTGCATCAGCTTGTTCTTTAAATTTGCAAATCCGCCACTTTCCATGCCGATGCTAGTTTAAATTATTCCCGAAAATTCAAGAAGCATATACAAGAAAATAGGTATAGCAAGTAATAAGAAAATAGCCTTTAAGAGGAACCCGACGATTTTTCAAATGCTAAGAAATGACAAAGCACCTTTAGACAAAAAACTGGTTCCAGGGGTTTACAGAATACTGTTACACGATAAAAGGCGCCAAAAGGAACTTTAGGAAATAGGGGCCATAAAAATATCGACTAACAAAAGGTTGAAAGAGCATAAAAAGGGATATTAGATACAAACAACCAGTCAAAGCATTAGCAAATTACGTGATCGCAGAACCCAGCAGAGGTTTCGGTTGACTGGGATAAAGCAGAACTTATACAGAAAGTTGCAAACATACGGCATCTAAAATATATGGAAGCATGGTATATTAATAAATACAACAAAAAAGGGCAAGCCATAAATTTTTGGGAATCATTTAAAATAGCATCAGCATGGAAAGCAGCAAATTTGCAAATTTAAACAACAAACTGATGCAAACAAATCTACGATGATTTGATTTAAAAGAAACATTCTAGAAGTTTCCATTAAGAAAAAGAAACTTTCAACTTGAAGTTTTTTGTTTTCGAACCTGAAGGTAGTCAGTGAAGCTGTCCGAAAACATTAGTTGGTAGCAAAATTAAGCTGATGTTAAAGGTTTTCTTGGAGCATTTTGATTTATGATAGTAAGTGCAGTTTGAGTTATAGAAGTTATAGTATAAAGACTGTCAATTTCTTAAAATTTAATATACATTTAAAAAAATTAGTAACACTTTAGTTTTATGTGCACTAAAATTTTCAATTCAAGTTTTAAGCCAGGGGTGTCCAACCTGCAGCCCAATGAAGAAGTTTCACAAAGCCGTAAACCTTTATATATATTTTATTTTTGAGTGGAAAGGAAATGTTTTCAAATACTTGGAAATGTGTGAATGAGAAAGGACTAAATAAAGCTGGAGTTGAGACTCAAAGGATTATTCCTTTGAGTCTCAACTCCAGTTTTATTTAGCATTCCTTCCAGCATAGCAAGATTCGGTTACAAATTTGGATACCCTATTTTTAGTTTGGCGTAAAAAATATCATTTGGCGCATTGACTACTTTTTAGGCCACATATTATTTATAAATATATTAGTCAAATAAAAATGCACTTTAAAATGGTGTTTTGTCATTTTTTTTATTAATGAGAAACCAAAATAAAACAAATATTTGTTTTTTTCAAATAATTTTCGCTCGTCTCCTTTATAATAAATGAATTTATCTATTTCTAAGAAAAAATTGAAACTGTGTAGAAGTAATTTTTTAAAATATCTTTTTTCGTGATAAAGTTTTAATACTTATTACTATAATCTAGACATGTTAAACATACATCCTTAAATATACTTGTATATTTAAGGATTGGGCCACAAGTACATATAATATACTTGTGGCCCAATATTCCATGACTTCTTCCAATGTGATCCAGAGAAACAAAAAGGTTGGACACCCGTTTTAAGTAATAATTAATTTACAAATAATATACTTTCATTATAGAATAATTTCTCAAAGTTTTTAAAATTATTATTATAATTCTAGTTTTAAGATAATGTGAATTCTTTACTTGAAAAAAATTTAGTAGGCTACATAAAGTGTTTTGCAACCAAACACTCAGAAACAGAATATAGCTGGGAGACAAAGAAAAAGTTAGTCAGTCTTAAATTATTTATATTCACATATACCATGTGAAACCAATGCATATTGTAAAGATTCCAAACAACAAAAAAATTAATTATTTAAAATAAAAACATTTATAATAATTGCTTTTTACAGATATTTACATTAACAGGAAGCACATTTTAAAATGTGAATGCTTTGTTTTAAGAAAGAATTAAATTTGTAGAATTGTATTGTATTATTATTCATTCTTATTCAGTCTCATTTAGTATAAAGTTAAGATATGTTAATTTATATTTTTGTTGTAACAACCAGCTTTACACAATCGTAAAATTTAAATTATTCGAAAAACTCAAATTAAAAGAATGTAATTTAGAATTTACAGAAAAAATGGGGTAAAACATTTTTCATAAAACATCAAAAAAATGTATTAAAATATGATCAAAAGCATTCTTTTATCAAATTTTACTAGAACATTGTGCGAATTCATTATGTCTGAATAGATTTGAGGCAGAACCAGAAAGAAAGAAGTAATCCTTGCACTTGTTAGTCACAGAATGGCAAACTTTGCACTTGCCACTGCAAAAGAGGCTCCTTGTACAGTACCTATATATTGAACTTTGGCACAAGGGAAAATTTAAATATGGACTTTTGGATAAGACTTTCATCAGTCTGTTACAAATTTAAATATCATAAAATCACTTTTTATTAATATAACACACATTATATTTCATAATATAATTTTTCATATTCATTGTGTGACAGTTTTATATTTCATAATATAATTTTTCATATTCATTGTGTGACAGTTTTCTATTAATTTATTAGTTCACCAATGTAACAATTTTGAAATTTTGTCACCCTGGGCACATACTCTGCCCCTGCCTTTACATGACCCTGTTTGTACCTGCCAACCATGAGAGAGGCAATTCCTATCACTGCTGGCATGGGAGATACAATCATTGCAGTGGCCAGATATGAAGAGATAATCCTTGCACTTGCCAATATGGAGAGGCAACCCAAGAACATAGCTATTGCCATCAATTACTTTGTTATTGTGTTTTGTTCATTTTTTGCATCTATTTTCTGTTAGGTGCACACAATGCTGTTTTTATTTTTGATCCCTAAACTCCATTAGGCATGTTCAGTCACATCAGGGAGTATGGACATTGTCACTTTGACTCCATTGTATATTGAAAACAAAATTATGGACCCTGATTTTTTATAATATTTTTGGATTCCTCATCACAATAAATGGAAAATGGCAAAGTTTATCAAAAAATCAATCAATTAAATTTTGATATTGAATGCAATATTTTAAGTCATAAAGAAGAGGCTTCACTAATGCTCCACCTCAATTATTTTTAATGAATTACTGTTTTTTTTTTGTTACATACATAGTATTTGCATCCAGTTTAATCTGTACATTGGTGTGTATTATTTTTGAATGAAGACAGATATAAAAACAGCAAGGCATTCAATATTAATCTCAAAATTTTATAGCTAAACACTATAAATAATGATAATTTTTTTAATGTATTAAATTTCCAACATTAGCTAGTATAACTAAGTGTTGAGAATAAATTTAACATTATAATCATTATTCATGCAAAACTATTTCTTGATCTAGTAGATCAAAAATTTTCAGACCATCTTGTATACTTTTTTAATTTACTAAGTAATTTTAAAGAATATTTTCAATTACCATCCATCATTTCAAGATTTTTGGCACCAGTACTTTTCATGCGGCGATGACGTTTTTTGATATTTGGCGTGTCCAGTTTGCTTAGGAGAGGATTAGTACTCGGAACAGCAGGTATTAAATGAGTATCATTTCCATTTAATACACCTAAAAATTTAGAGAAATATATTTCAAAAATTTCTTTTCAAAGAATATTAAATTTTGATGAATTTGTTCCTAATAAAATGAAGATGAAGAATAACTGTATATTATTTATAGAAATGAATTACAAACTATTTTTATTTTAAAATATTTTGCATTTTATTTTTAAACATGTTTATATTAAATATAATTTATGGAATTAAATTTTTTTTAAATGGTATGCTAAAAATTTATTATTAAAAACAATCATGCACATAAACTAAATCTTAATTCGGATATATCAAAGTTGTATTCTAAAAGCTCAATATTCAAAACCATAATAACTATAACTTCTGTTTTCAGTAAAAGTAATTTTTTTATACAATATAAACACACAAGAGAACCTTAAATATCTCCAACACAAACTTTAATATAAGAAAGAATATGGACATTTTCAAACTGTAAATAAGATCTGCATCAGGTCTTACAGACATTCCATGTTAGAATGCAAGAAAGATTGTTGCTGGAGATATTTAAGGTCCTCTTGTGTAAGTTGTGTGTGTATATATATATATATATATAATACTCTTCTGGCCTGTTTATATAAAAAAATTTACAAATCATCATGTAAGAAAATATCAGTATCGTAACATGTTCAAATATAATATAAACAGAGAGAAAAAAAATTACAAAACTTTTTAACAATTAGAATTGTGTGGAGCAAAATTATTTCTAATAGAAAAGAGAAAAAACTGTTGATATTAGAAAAAAATTAATATCAAACAAGACTCCCAAGTACTTTCAACATTGCATTAAAGTTGTCAGGAGAGATAGGATTCATTTAACACACCCATGAAGTTTGAAAACCACCTTTAACATTCAAAAACAATTTAAAAAAGAATAATTTAAAATATTTAGAAGTTAAAAAAAAATTATACAGTAGAGTCTCTAAAACTCGGCACTCGATAACCCGGCAGTCTGGATAACTCAGCCACACCCTGGCAGGGCAAAAAAATCCTTAGTTAATTAATTTTCATTATAGACAGCTTTATGCCTCAAAGCCTTCTGAGGTCTGTCTTATTAGGTAAATTACTATACACAGTGTATTCATTAATTTTCATTTTCATGTAGTAAAGGCTCTATGCCTTCNTAGGTAAATTACTGTACACAGTGTATTCATTAATTTTCATTTTCATGTAGTAAAGGCTCTATGCCTTCATAAAGGATGTACTTTTCCATATACATATACTTAACACCTTATTCTTGCCGAGAAATAATGGAATTTTAATTCAAATGTATTCTAAACCTGAAGATGGCCTGTGAATCAGGCTGAAAACGTTTGTTTGTTTCAAATAAATTATATTTCTCGGCAAGAATAAGGTGTTAAGTATATGTATATGTATAGTGATTTGCTGAGTACTTTATGATATTGATGTACTTTTCCTTTGTTTAAAGGTATTTGGGCAGTTTATTCTCTGTTGTATTCTCAAGTAAACAATACATACGAGTACAGTACAGTATTTTCTGAGGAAACACTCATACTTATTTTTTTTTTAACCCCATTCCTGATAACCTGGCATTTTCACAAACTCAGCCACCCTTCGATCCACATTAAGCAGAATTTGAGACTCTACTGTATTACTAGATCCCAGTATGGACTAATTGCATGCATTACTGACCTTATGCATATCAAGATAAATAGTGTCCCAAATAAATAAAATATTTCTAACTAAACATGAACAGAACAGATGGTGTCTGACCAAAACAGATCACATATGTGCTTAAGAACTCTCTTGGACAGTTCTGTGTTAGTCTGTTACATCGGTTGTCATCTTGAACTTCAAATGTTTGACTGTAAAGTTATAATTTCAAAAAATGTCAAAACAAACTTTGGAACATTCCAGTTTGGAATGCTCAATAGAAAGTTTGATTTAAAATAGTTAAAACCCAGCATGTAAAAGTGACTGAAAATGTTTGTTTTATTAAAGATTGTTGCTAAAAAATGTGTGGAAGGTGGTGTTTTCCATAAGAAGGTTCCAGTTTCAAGTAAATGTTCAGAAATTCTAAAGCATTCTTGTAACTGCCCCAATATACAAAAAAGTAACAGTATCTGTACCTTGTCTTAAAAAATTAATACTAATAGGGTGGGCCAAGGCTTGAGGGAAAAATTGTAGTCATATTTATTAAATTTAGATAATTTCATAAATTACCAAAAAATTTTATTTAGTAATGTTGTAATGTAAAAATATTCATCTCTTTTTCAACTTAAATATTTACAAGACACTTTTACAGAAAAACAATCAATTTTATAAATCCACTCCACTTTAATGTAATTCTATTTGAAAAGTTTAAAAAGTTTTTGTGTATTAATCCCACATTTTAAATGATCTTTTCCAAATTCTCTTTAAATATGTTTAAAAATATTTTTGAATTGTGTGCATGTTCTGTGCATTCTATCTCACCTAAAGAAGACAATGTAATGCTGAAAGTTTGGCATTAAATGCCTTCCTAATGCTAACAAATTGTTCTTTTGTCTTTATTTCAATTCTTGATGTATTGTGTGTTGTTATTTGAAAATTTCTAATTTCTTATATATAAATAAATAAATTTTCTAATAAATGTATATAAATAAGAAACAACATAAAATAAAAACTTTAAAGATTCATAGGTAATGTTAAAAAAAGGGCAAAATAAATTTCCATTATATATTCAACTTTCACTTTTATAAATAAGAGAAAACAGCAAAATGATTGCTTAAAATAAAAATAAAATTATTTAAAAACTTCTAACGTCAAAAATATTTTTAAATATTCAATTTAAAAAAATTAAGATTTGTGATGCCAAGATATAAAAAATATTTAAATAAAAAAAAAAGGTAAAAAACCATGCAGCAAATGTCAAAAAGGAACAAATTAGGTAATAAAAAGATGACCAGACATGAAAAACAATATATATTACAATATTCAGTGAATTTAAGAATTCAATCAAATGTTCCATTCTTTCTGTAAAATTAAATAGTATCATTAAGGATAATTCATAATCAGATTCATTTCAAAGTTCTTTAGTAAAAGAATATTTTCTGTACTTAAATATGTATTTGAGAAAACAAAAATCCAACATTTACGAATATGTAATATATAGAAGTAATTTATGTTGATCATTATGTACAGTGTGGCCCAAAAGTCAGTTAATAAATCCATTTGTAACATTATAAATAATTAAAAATTTATTTGAAACAAATGCATATTACTTGTGATTCAAATACTTTCAATGAAATAATTGAATTACAATCATTATCATAGTTGTTTAAAACTTATTTTGATAAATTTTAACTGTTATCAAAAAACATATCTTAGTTATACCATATTTACTTGCATATAAGACAAGGCTTTTTATTCATTTTTCACTGCTTCAAAAACCTAGGTTGTCCTATATACAGGAGCAAAGGTTCTTTGCATTTTTGCAATAAATTCTGTCAACTATGTATTTGCATTTTTTACCCGATGCTTGCCCTCTGATGTTTAAAACATTTGAATCATTCTTGTGTATTGTCAGGAGTAAAGATGAATAGTAATAGAAAAAGCAAAGCTCTTGAATTGAATTCTGAATTGAAATTCCAAAATCAGCCCACCAGTGGCCAAGTGGTTCTGTTCCCTGAACACTGGGAGTTTGGTCATGGGTTTGCACCTCGCCTGAATGGGCTGGCCATGTGGAGTTTTCTGGGTTTTCTCCACATCTAACACCTGAACAGGGACCAGACCTACCTATTCAGGTGTTAAAGACATGACCCAGACCTTAAAAAGACCTCCCGGAAGGCATCCCTCTAGGCATATCACCTAAGTGTTTTGTTGCCGTAACTTAACAAAACAAACAAACAAAATTCCAAAGTCACACAGGAATCTATTCCCATGTGAAAACAGATGATTATTTGGAAATCATAATTCAGAGAAATTCATAAGTGGATTAGACTGTTAAGAATTGGCAAAAAAGTTTCCAATTGTTCAACTATACATTAACAAATTGTGTTGTCAATTTTACAAGATTTTTCCTTAAAGTTTAAAATGTAGAGTAATTTTTGCAGGACAGTGTGTGCATTTGATAATATTTTATCTGTGATTAAACAAAATAAAATTAGAATTGTATTAATATATCTAATTTTCCTTATTTTGATCATTAAAGTCACATCTCACCCTATATGTGTGATTGTCTTATATGTGAGTAAATACAGTATTTTGAGACACCATGAAGTGTTGATACTAGACACTGGACTTTTTCACATCCACTTTATTTTCTTATGTATTTTACAGTGTATAAACCAATTGTTACAAATGCCAATTGTATTTTGAGCTAGCGCCCCTCATCTGTTGGCCGATATAAGTTTTCTATAATGGCTTTAAATATATTGTTGATGAACATAAAAGTGATACATGGTGGTGGTCAGTTTTATGTTCGTCAACAATACATTTAAAGCCATTATAGAAAACTTATATCGGCCAACAGATGAAGGGCACTAGCTCAAAATACATATTGGCATTTGTAACAATTGGTTTATACACTGTAAAGTACATAAGAAAATAAAGTGGATGTGAAAAAGTCCAGTGTCTAGTATCAACACTTCATGGTGTCCCAAAATATAATTTAAAGAACGACATGGTTTCAACACAGAAGAATATCTTAGTTAACTGATCTTTGGATCATACTGTATACTGACTTGTATTATCTTTGTACAATATAATGTTTAATGAAAAAATTAAGTATTATAACCTTTATTTTTAACAAAATACAGGTTGAATTATTTTCAATTCTTAAAAATATATCTACAATATGTGATTTTGCTTTGGTTTCTAGTATTTTGCATTTTTCAAAATTATTCTTAATGAAAGCTGAATTTGTTACCATAATTTAGTATACTATTAACAACATAAGNATATTTTGTTTATATTCTAGGATCGTTTCATTGTAGTAATGGACGATGCATTAATAGTGCTTGGATGTGTGATGCTCAAGATGATTGTGGAGATCTATCT